CGGGCGGCGGGCGGGCGCGTCGCTGCGTGCCGGGCTGGCGGTGGAGGTTTTAGGGTTCGCTGACAGGCAGCGGCCGTCCTCCCGCCTCCGCCTTCCAGAGTGCTGGAGGACGGGTGTGCCCCCCCCCCATCCTTCCCCTTCTCGCACCGGGATAGAATTCGGGACCTTGCGCTTGCACGCAGGCGCCACCCAGCCGCGCTCCCGCGTGCCTTGGAACCATCCAGTGGGGGGCCGGGGACGCGGCTCAGCGGGGCCTGAGCTCCGGTCCCCGGCCGCAACGGAGCGAAGGTGGGATAGGGATCCAGCGGGCGTACTTTCTGGGTGTCGACGATGCCTTAAAGAGACGCGGCTGTCGTGGGGGCACGCACCCGTGACCCCAGCTACTTGGGAGCCTGAGGCGGGAGGATCGCAGGTTCAAATCCAGCCCAGGCAATTTAGCAGGGTCTGGTTTGAAAAGGAAGCAAGAAGGCCTGCGGCTGAGTGCGAGAGCAGCTGCCTAGCATGAGGGAAGTTCTGAGTTCAATCCGTGGTCTTACCAAAAAATCAAAACCAAAACCAAGATGCCACACACTACCAGAAGAGGAGAAATTGTAACTTCTGTTTGTGGAAACGGTTTATTTGGTTTTGGGTTTCCCGAGGTTCAGGCACTCGAAGAGGAAGGTTGCTGGTAGGTTGTTAAAAAAGCAGTCCGCACTAGAAAGAAAAGTTTGTGAGTTATCTTCACAACGATGTTGTTGCAACCATGGCAGGAAGCGGGCTCCTAGAGGGAGCACACAGCCAAGGACATGCCAGGCACAGGATTTGGTGTTCAGGGCGGTGGAGTGCGAAGGACTCCTGAGAGGAAAGCAGAAGGAGTGGCTGGCAAGAGAGTTCACGCCAGGGAGGTTTACCAGGTGTGGCAAAGGTTTCAGCAGCGTCCTGTCCCTGAAGCAGCAAGCCCAAGAGGACTGATGGCCTGTGATAGCTCCGAGTGGGGCCCACTGCTGGCCCTACAAGTGATCGTTTTAGCAGGCTGGGAAAGGCAGAAGCCAGACTACAGAAAATTACTACAAAAAAGGAAAAAGGGGGGAGGGGCGGTATATAGTTCAGCGGAATAAGCGCCTGCCTGGCTTGCGCAAGGTCCTGAGTTCAATCCCTGCTGGTACAAAAAAGAAAGAAAATTGCTACAGGGTGGATGTGGAAGTAGAAGCAACAGTTTTATCAGCCAGGCTTTCCAGAAAATCGGCCGCAAGCTGGGGATGGTGACACATCGGTCTAAACCCAGCTCTTGCGAGGCTGAGGCAGAAAGGCTCACTGCAAGTAGGAGGCCAGCCTGGATTACAGAGTGAGTTCAAATCCAGATATAGTGAGACCATGTCTCCAAAAAAAAAAAAGGAAAGCAATGACAAAGAGGGATGGAGTCCAAGTTCTAGAAGGTGGAGGGGTGTGTTGTCTTCAGTAGTAAATCTGAGTTGTAGTAGAACGGGCAGAGGTGAAGGCTGGGCATGGTGGTGTGCTGGCGCACGCCTGCAGTCCTCCCTGAAGCAGGAAGATTGTTTGAGATCAGCCTGGCCTACAAAATGAGTCCAAGGCCAGCCTGAGCTGTATAGTGAGTCGGGAATTGAACTCAGGCCCTTGCACTTGCCAGGCAAGAACTTATTCTACTAAGCTATCTCCCCAGCCCCAAGACCCTATCTCAAGAGGACATTTTTTTTTTTAAAGGAGAGGTGTAACTACTACCCATTCTCCTTGCCCAAGCCCAGTTTTCTTGGAAAATAAAACAAGTCCCCCCCCCAAAAAAAAAAAAAATTGAATTAGGGCTGGGGAGCTGGCTCAGTAGAATAAGTGCTTCCCTGGCAAGCGCAAGGGCCTCAGTTCAATCCCCGGTTCTGAAAAAAAAAAAAAAAACCAAAAAACAAGTCCCCAGATAATTCAGATGAAAACAAAAGCATCTGGAGAAAGAGACAGAGAAAGAACAAAACTAAGCCTAAAGTCCAGCAATAAAAGGATTAGCTAGTAACATGCAATTATGTCCTAGGACATTTTGCTGGATTGCTTAAACTAATTCTGTCTTGGGTGGGACACTACTAGCAGAGCTGTGGTCTGTGTTAGATAAGGCTCTGGGTAAAGGTTCTGTCTGTCAAGTACATTGTTAAACTATCTTGTGCTAGTTTGAGGACTTTTTTCTTTTCAGTCCTGAAGATTGAGTCTGGGATCTTCACACTGAGCTCTACCCCTGACCCTATTTACTGTTTATCTGAGAGTCTTGCTAAGTTGCGAAGTCACAAAACTCCCCACAGGCTTAAACTTGTAGTCTTCCTGCCTCAGCCTCCTGGAGTGCTGGGAGGACGGCTCCTAGTGTGATTTTTAAAAATAGCTTTTCCTCTAAGAAAGTCAAATTGTATTATTTGAAAAGACAATAATTTGATTATATGTATACAAATATGTCTTTAAGCCCGAACTAATTCTTTGTCAATATAATGTTTTACATTTTGAACCATTTCAGATTTCAAAGTAGAACTCCAAATATTCTTTGCTTTGCTTTCTTTTTGAGACAGGACATTGCTGTGTAGTTCAGGATGGCCTTGAACTCCTTTGTAGTTTGGGCTGGCCTCAAACTCATGACAGTCCTCCTGCCTCAGCCTCTCAAGTGCTGGGATTATAGGCCACTCTGCTTCGCAAAATACACATGTTAAAAATCTGTAGAAAGACCAAAAAATCCCCAAATGTGAAATATTCGTGCTCAAGCATTTCCGATAAGGCCACTCACCCTGTGACTTCACTGCTCCCTGATAAAAGTTCTCAGCTCTGCGGGCGCTCTGTCTCTGTCTCTGTCTCTGTCTCTGTCTCTGTCTCTCTCTCTCTCTCTCTTTCTCTCTGTCTCTCACTCTGTCTCTCTCTGTCTCTCTCTCTGTCTCTCTCTCTCTCTCTCTCTCTCTCTGGAGTGCTGACAACTGCCCCGTTTCTGCCCTCTCAAGATACAGCAAGCTAAGTAGAATTCTATCTGGGGCTGTTCTTTCAAAGAGAAACGGGGGAGGGGGACCAGGAACTGTCCCAGTGGTCCCTTCCCCCTTGCCCAGCCTCGTTCCCTGGTTCAGGGGCTGTGCCTTCGGAACAGCTCACTCCCAGGAACCTACCGGGGTGGGGTGGGGAGAGGCCCGCCACCCTGGGCTACCCAGCAGGCAGCGTCCAGCTGTGGGCGCCTCCAGAGGGTGGTGACTAAACAAACAGGGTCACAGGAGCTGCAGGAGTTACCTTCCTGGCCCTGCCAGCACGTGCTGAAGCCAGAGTCCCCAGTTCTAAAAGCTGGCTTCCTAGTGTGGTGCGGTGGCCAGCTGTGTGTTTGTGCGGCCAGCCAAGCCTTCCATCGGTGCCCCCCCAGGCAGCAGAGGGTCCCGAGGGACACGGTGCGCACTGTCCTGCCTCTGCTCACTGCTGGCGCAGAGGCAGCTGAGCACCACCCTGGTCGTTGGGGCTCATCTTTCTCACCTCTGGCTCTCTCTCCCACCCCACCGGGACTTTGATGTGGTGCCAAGGGCGTGGGGTGGTGTTGGCTGCACTTGTGAATAAGCCTCTTCTTTCCTGTTTGGCAGAGTTCATTTTTCTCCTGTCTGAACAATGGTGTCTGGAGAAATCCGTGAGCTACCAGGCTGTAGAAATCCTGGAAAGGTAAGCCCTGAGCAGAGGCCCTGCAGGCCACAAGAGGCAGCACCCTGGCGCCCTCAGGCCGGCCGCAAGCTGGCGGCTCACCCTCCCTTACTTGCTAACGTGAGCACCCCAGCCGCTTGGAACAGCGTGCAGCAGGGGAGGCTCCCGCACCCTTGTGGCAGGTGTGCAGCTCACGCCCTGCCCTCCCCGAAGGTTTATGGTCAAGCAGGCAGAGGCCATCTGCGCCCAGGCCGCAGCCCAGCGGGGGGACAGGGAGCGCGCAGAGGCTCGGGACTGGCGGGCTCAGAAGGAGCAGCTCTGCAGCAGGTTTGCCCTGCGCCTGGTGTCCTGTGTTCAGCTGGCCAGCAAGCTTTCCTTCCACTACAAAGTAAGCCGGGAGCTGCTGGGGGCTGCCTGAGGGTTACCGAGAACTGGCTCATGGGAGGCGGCTGTGGGAGGCTCAGGCCTAGGCCAGGTGACACTGCGCGGGTGGAAAGTCCAGAGCGCAATTAGAATCCCGAGCGCACCCCCTAAGCACACAGTCACACAGAGGCCGTCATTCAATAGCCCCAAGTCCTGTTTCTGAGCTCTTAACTGCTGGACAGATGCCACTGTTCACACAGGTCACCTGTCCTTCCCTCCACCTAAGGACAGTTTACAAAGGGGCCTGGACTGCCAGCCTGTCGGCAGTAAAGGCAGGCAGCCACGCTGAGGAAGGGCACAGTGTGGCTGCAGTACTCTGTCTGTCCAGCGAAGTGTCATTCCTGCCACACATGCTGGTCTCCTCTGTGACTGGAGGCCATGCTGGGCACCAGGGCTGCAGCACTGAAAACCCTGATGGTGTAGGAGGAGTTCACCAGGGCTCAATGCAGACTGCCAGGAAAGCCCCGTGACAGCCATGTGCCCAGGGAAAGCAGCTCTGCGGCCCTAAGCAGAGAGGGGCCAGTTAGCGTGATGGGGAGGGCTCGGGAGGAGGGAGCAGGCAAGCTCATGGCCTGTGGTGAGGCTGGGGGGGACACAGTGCTGCGGGGGCTGGAATGAAGCGGATGGGTCAGGCCCGCGGAGCCGGTGTCCGACTCCACCCTTGGTTTTCCTTGGTTCAGATCATCAACAACCTCGTGGCCTTGCACTTCCTCCAGGCCCTGGGGTATCCGTACACGAAGGAGGAGCTGCTGGAGTCGGAGCTGGACGTCTTGAAGTCCCTGGACTTCCAGATCAACCTCTCCACTCCCCTGGAGTATGTGGAGATGCTCCTGGAAGTTTTAGGTAGCTCATCACACCAGGGAACACAGCTTGGAGATGACAAAAATGATTCCAGAGCTTTGGGAACAGCGGGCGGGACCTTCCAGGGAGGAAGAGTAGGAGGACTGTGGTGCCCTGGGTAACCACGGTGTCCCCTTCGGCACTGCCAGGGGAAAGAGCTCTGAGGCTTAGCAGCTGGTTCCCACCTGGGCTCTGCACACACTTTTCTTACTGCAGAGTCAGAGTAGACTTTATGGACAGGAATAAAAGGAACAGCCAGGCTTGGTGGTGCAGGCCTGTGACCCCAGCATTCAGGAGGCTGAGGCAGGAAGATTGCTTTGAGTTAGAGGCCAGCCTGGGTTACAGAGTGACTTCAAGGTCAGCTGGAACTGCGCAGTAGAACCCTGTCTTAAAAAGACAAAAAAATAAAAAGGGGCTAGGGAGATGGCTCAGTGGAATAAGCGCTTCCCAGGCAAGCACAAGGGCCTGAGTTCAATCCCTGGTTCCGCCAAAAAAAAAAAAAAAAAAAAAAAAAAAAAAAAAAAAAAAAAAAAAGACAAAAAAATAAAGGAACAACTCCTGACTGGCACATATACTACAGATGGAGGCTTCTTGCTTGTTCTTTTGTCCTTTAAAGCTGACCTTCTGCTCCTGGAGCTTAGAGACCAGGAGCTGGACAGCGCGCACAGCAGCGGGTGGGCAGAGCGCAGCGGCGCGGTGCCCACCGCCTCCCTCCCGCCCAGGGTACAACGGCTGCGCGGTCCCGGCCACACAGCTGCACGCTACCTGCCTGACCCTGCTCGACCTGGTCTACCTTCTGCACGAGCCTGTGTACAGGAGCCTGCTGAGGTCTGCCGTGGGGAACACCTCGCCCAGTGAGCTGCAAGGGTACGGGCGTCCCGGGCGGTGGCCGCAGGGCAGCGCAGGGTGGGCCGGGCTGGTGCCCACCCAGCAGGGCTCAGCAGCTTTTCCTTTTACCTCTATGTTCCTTCAGGCAACACACTTTCCTTCCTAGCTTCTCCTTCCTAGCCGTCCATAATGTGGGATCACTACACTGCTTTTATAGTCACTTGGGAGAAAAAGCCAGTCACGGGTCCAAGTTGGCCAGAAGTGTTACTGTGAGTCAGCTGTCAGAGGGACAGGGAGGCAACAGAAGCTGCTGGCACTCGGCGGGGGCTTGCGTTCAGCCCCGCTGAGCGCCAGCAGGGCACCGGCAGGTAGGCAGGGCCTGGCCACTGCCGGCCTGAGCGTCCAACACCCGAGGTCCCAGCTGAGGCCCCGGCACGGTCCAGCTGTGAGGCCAGCGTGGCTTTAATCCCTCAGGGAGAAGTTCGGGTCGGTGGAGGAGGACTTCATGCTCCTGGCAGCAGGCGTCATTGCAGCGAGCGCTTTCATCCAGAACCACGCGTGCTGGAGCCAGGTGAGCAGACGGCAGAGCCTGCTGCAGGGGCGCGGCTCCGCGTGGGCCACCGAGAGCAGGACCCAGACTCCTAGCGTCAGCGCGCCCTGCCCTGGGGCGGGGTGGCCCGGAGGCCACCGGTGGGCCTGCTCCCTCCTGGGACGTGGCAGCCGCGCGGCGTTGTTCAGGTCTTAGTGCTCGCGGCCCACCACTGTGAGAACTGAGGTGACCTTCCCCAGCACCCATCTCGCACTCCTCGGAAGAGGCCAAGCGCATCTCTGTGCCGACACTGTGAGCAAAGGTGCCCCGATGCGGCGTGGGCCCCAGTGAGTGCAGGGGTCTGCCGAGTCGCTGCTGTGGACTGAGGCAAGCGCACAGCGGGCCGCAGAGCCCCGCAAGCGCGTGACAGGAAGCCCGTCTGTCTGCTCCGCAGGTCGTGGGGCACCTGCAGAGCATCACCGGCATCGCCTCCGGGAGCATAGCCGAGTTCTCCCACGCGGTCCTGACCCACAGCGTCGGAGCCAGCACTCCAGGGCGGCGGCAGCCGGTGCCTCCCCCCCCAGGCCGCCTGGGCCGCAGGGCCACCGAGGCGGGCAGAAGCTGCTGAGGCCAGTGGCCTCCCACGTGGACGCTTGCGCTCAGGCTGGCAGGAGCCCAGCCTCGGGGAGCCGACGAGTGCCAAGTTTAGGCTTGCTCTGCATGCCCACGGAGGAGCCATTGGGCACAAGCATGTCCTTTCTGTCACACCAGACTGAGTGTCAGAGAGCTGGGCTGAGGTAGATTGCTGGTGGTGGTGGTCATTTATGTCTAACAAGCTATTTCTGGGTGTCCTTTAATTTCATGAATAGGGACTGTTGAACACAGGGATAAGTGTGGGCCAAGAGTCCCTGAAAGGAGACTCCGGGTGACCCTGTCACAGAGCTTGCCCGTATCTCCTTTGATGTAAGGTCCCTGTTCTTCCACCGAGAGCAACACAGTAAGTATGCTTTCTCTGTGAAGGTCTGTTTTCACTAGGATGTTGGAGTTTTTCCCTAGTTTTTTTTTTTCCCCAAAGGCTGTTGAGCTGTATTCCTGGCTCTTTCCCTAGTTTAAAAACTAAAACTATGCCATCTTCATGTTCCATCAGGACTGCCACATACTTGCGCTTAAGTCGGTTTTCCCAGAATACAAAGTACACAGCGGCCCTCACAGCTACCACATTGTAGCAAACCTTTTATTACAAATTATACAGCCTCTCCAGACCCGCTCCAACCCGCGTGGCCCAGCCCACTGCGGAGCGCAGTGCTCAGGGTCGGAGGTGGGGGCGGGCGGGCGGCCGAGGGGCGCAGCGGGCGCGTCGCAGGATGGCACCCGGAGCCGCCGAGGTCATTCCCCGTCCTCCGGCAGCGCCCTCGCACAGCTCAGCGTCTCAGTGGAGAGGCGGAGCGTCTACTCCGCATGTTAAGGATAGGAGGTTGAGAAAAAATCCAGCGACAGCAAGTCAACTCCAGTTCAACTCAGTTAAATAAAAGAAACTTACATGAGTCGTTTTTTCAGGGAGAAAGGCAGGCATGAGTGTCAGTAAAGGCCAGGCCGGGGCGGGGGCTGGGGAGGGGGGCTGCGATTCCGGAAAGCACCTGCCACACATCGCCCTAAAATAAAGCGGTTTTCGGGGATTGTTGTCTCTTAGGGTATTGTAAATATGTGCCGATTAATATCACCCAAATTTAATTCAAAACTTTTTTTTTCAAACAAAACAAAATTTAAAGCCTTTAAGGCAAACATCCCCCTAAGAAAAAGGAAGTCATTTGTTATAAAACTGCGAGGAGACCCAGGCCAGACCCCACTTCAGGTTGGTCAGCATGAACTTGAGTGCTTTCGTCCACTGCTCCTCGGAGTTGAACTGGGTTTTGATGGAGTAGGAGCCCCCACTGCCGCCAGTGTCCTCGATCTTGCCCTTCTCCACGTCCATCCTGCGGGCGGCACACAAGCGAGCTCTGTAACTGAGCCCCAGCTAAGGTGGCGCGGGCCAGCAGCAGGGGAGGGACAGATCATGGGACCGTTGGCGTCATCTACCAGAGCTCCTGGCGGGGGACCATGTTGTGTTTTGGACTTGCTTGAAAGTCCAACATCAAGAAGGCTGTCACAAGAGCCTATTGTCACTGTGAAGTACAGGGACAGGACACACACCCAAACAGCTGAGAAGCCTGCAGGGGTGAGGGAGGGTCACAGCGCTTGTGACTGTGATCCTGGGCTTTCCTGAGCTCACGCGAGGAAAGCAGCCTGTGTCAGGTGACAGCTCAACCTTCCCGTCTCGGGCTAGAGTTTCCACCCATCCTGGACGCTCGAGAGGCATTCCTGTACATTTCCAGAGGCCTCGGGGGAAAACACACCTCCCACTGCACAGCAGTTGAGCTCTGCCAAGAAAACCCCAGAACCACCCGAGACTCCAGGACCCAGCAGCTGCACACCGCCTGCCTGCAGCGCCGGGTCAGCCGCAGCCCGGTGGCATCGGGCCTGTGATGGCTGCTGCCTCCCACCACGGAAGGGATGTGGCTTTGCCCACGTTTTCATGGCCCTCCCCGCCACTCAATGTGGTCCTTCTGCAAGCTCCCCCAGTGCGGGTGGGGATGGTACTGACCTGTAAGGAAGACAAAACCGAGTCTCGCCCTTCTCAACCTCTTCTTTGAACTGCTGCACACAGTCCAAGAAAGCCACCATAGCATGGTCAAACTTATTGTCCCAGAAAAACCGCAGCCCTCCAGAACAGTACAACGGCAGCTCCTGTCCCAGTGAGAGAGGAGCTGTGGTCACAGCGCTAGGACAGGTGACCTGAGGTGGGTCCCAGTCCTTTGACCTCTCCTGCCATCCTCCATCTGTATCCACTGGAAAGGAGTGTGGCACGACCTTGTACAACAAGGCAAGGTCTCCCAGCAGGGGCTGCGCCAACCCCACCCTGCACGGCCGCTCCTCAGCCCGGCCCACGTGGTCTGAACTGCCCTGCCCTTCTGGACGGGCGGAAAGCCTGACTGTCCAGAGCCACACGGGCTCTAGGCACCGGGCCTGCGTGGAGTGTTCAGTCTGAGCCGCACACTGACTGATGCTGCTACCAGGCAAACCCTTTTTTGTTTTTCTCAGTGCCAGGGATGGAAGCCAATGCTTGGTATATGCCAGGCACGTGCTCCAGTGAGCTTCAGCCCCAGGCTCAAAACAGAATCGTCTTGCTAGGCGGACTGAGAACTGTGTACCTTGGATTTGTCTGCCAGGGACTCCAGGTACGAATGGTTTCCATAGGGAACAAGCCGATACCTAAAGTGAGGAAGACGGAGATGGATCCGTGACTCTTCCCAAGTGACAGCTGGCTCTTCGATCTGCTTCCTCCCAAGAACTTCTGGTCTCACTCCCTGCCTTCCCTCCCACTGCCCTGCAGGAGGAGACCTCGGTGGAGACCTTGCTGCCCAGTACGGTAGCACGCGTTTGTGAGGCTAGGATTTTTTTGGAGGGGTGGGTATCAGGGATCAAACTCGGGACCCTGGGCTTGCCAGGCAGGCGCTTATGCCCGAGCTACATCCTCAGCCCTGAGCCCAGTACTCTGGATGATGAGGCAGGATCCGGGGCTTGGGGCTAGCCCACACTACATGAGTTCAAGGCCAGCCTGGACCACATAGCAAGACTTCTCAAAAAACAAAAACAACTTTATTAAAAAAGTGCATTTATAGGGCTGACCAGATAGCTCAGTGGAGCTCAGCGGACTGAAACACCTGCTAGGCAGACACAGGGACCAGAGTTCAATCCCCAGCCTGCTGTGCCAGCGCCCCCCACCACCACCAGGGTGCGTGAGACGGTGACTGAGAAGCTGAAAACAGGAGGCTCACGAGTCTGATCTGTGTAGAGGCCTTGTGGACCCTGTACTAAATAAAAAGCCCTGCATGTATTACATAAATGTCTGAGGCCCTCCCTTTCACAAACTAATATGTGTTTAGAGTAAGATATTTATTTCTTTATTTTCTTGGTCTTTTTGAGACAAGGTTTCACTATGCAGTACAGGCTGGCCTTGAACTCACAGGAATCCTGCCTCAGCCTTCCGAAGGGTCAGATTTAACAAATAACTGAAACTTTCTCGAGGTTTTATAACGCTGGAACCACTGATCACCCTGTCAGCGGGAAAAACCTTGACAGATGGAAAACCAGACTCGAACAGAAAGGGGCGACCACCACCCTGCGGGGACCTCCAGGAGCTGCACACCCCTCTTGGCAGCCTGGTCCCTCACCTCTGAAACTTTAGGCCCATTTTACTGGCTAGGGCGTGCAGCAGCAGCACAGTCTGGCCCCAGGCAGCGTTGATCTCATTCCACTCCACAGGGACACTGGGCAGGCGGCCCAGCCTGAAGTTGTTGATAGTGCCGAACTGGCCGCTGTGCCTGTGGGAGGGAGAAGACGGCCCACTCTGGCGCCCGTGCCCAAGCTCCAGGCAGCATGTCCCCTAGGTGCCCACCGCTTAAGGCGCCTTTCCCTCCACTCAGGTGGTAAAGCAGAAACTAGGGTACCCTCAAACACTGAGCTCCCACCCCCTCAACACCTGCAGGCTCGGGCTGGGCTCACCAGCAGGGCCCCTGCTTTGCATCCACAAGGCCCTGGGTTTGATCCCCAGCACCACCCATGCACGCAGAGGTGACCCCTGCGCGCTCCTGGATCCGTCCACTTCTATCTCCTCCTCTGAACTCGGCCTGACTCCTCCCTCCCGTTCCCAGCCCCTCGTGGGAAGCGAAGCTGTGGACACGGGTGGTCTCTTGGATGGAGACAACATCCCGTAAGTGACAGGCTCGAGCGCGCCATGGGAGTCCAGCCATCAGCTGGGCCCGCCCCGTCACACACGGTGGCAGGCACCTGGCTAGGGGAAGGTGACCCATCATCCTGCTTCGGGGGAGGTAGGCCCGGCCCAGGAGACACCAGTGAGGGTCCAGGGCTGCAGCACTCCTGCCACACCAAGCCCGCCCTTCCTCACCAGATATGGAAGGTGGCGTTGAAGACGTTGGTCTTCTTCAACTTGTCCAGCTGCGTCTGGGCGTAGCGCATCTGGTTCTCCACACTCTTGAGCTCATCGTCCAGCTCCAGCTGCTGCCGCTTGAATTCGCTGTACTCCCGCTGGTACCTGCGACAGCCAGGCCCGAGGGCGCTTGCTGGGCCGTTTCGCAGACCACAGCTCCCTCTGGGCAAGGCACTTCCGGTATCTGCGTGGACCCAGTCAGAGCGCATGTGTGCCTTAGCTGCTGGCTACTTTGTGTGGGAGGCACAAAAATGATTCTAGTTGCCCAGATGCAGAAAAGATGGAGGAGAAAAGGACTCCCTGTACTGCAACTGAAAACGCTCTTCTCTTTTTCAGAAGCGAGCAGAGCGGCCCCTTCCACACACCAGCCCTACGGGACCCCCTCCCCTCGCTTCCCAGCGCATCATCTTCCCAGCACCAACACCAGCACGCCCCTCACACTGTCTGGTAAACCCCACTGTCTTCTTCAGTGCGGACACTGCGTCCCTCAGGAGCCAGCGCTCTCTCAGGCCAAGGCCACCACGGGACTTGAGCCCGGCTGGAACGAACAGGGGCTGCCAAGGGCTGCTCACCCTAGCTAGCTGCTCCCTCAGGAAAGGGCCCAGACTGCAGCCTTGGCCAGCACCCTCTTTAACTAGCACCCTTTTTTCATTGGATCACACTGACCTTTTGTCCCTGACCCCCTACAGACCCCCAGGGAAAAAAATCTGAATGTGGTAGCACACGCTTGCAAGCCTCAGGAGCAAGCAAACCTAGGCTCCGCTGCCTGCCACGCACACGCACACAGAACCCCTCGCGGGGGCCGCCCTCAGCCACAGTGGCGGGCGGGCGCACAGGGCCAGGGCACGCACTGGGCTTCCTCCTGGTCCAGCCGCTCGGTCTCCGCCTGCACGGTCTCCAGGTTCTCAGCCACCGCCTTGCGGCTCTTCTCCACCTCCTCCAGCTCCTGGATCAGCCGCTTCTCCTCCAGGGCCAGCTCCTCCAGCTCCCTCTGCAACTGCTCACTGTCATCCTCTGTCATCTGCTCCAGGATCTCCAGACAGTGCCTGTGGGGACAGTGACAGATGGCGCACTTGACAGGGAAGCCAGGAGTAGGGCTCGGTGCACGGAGGATGCGCTCACTTGTAGTTCTGACACTCGTTCTCAGTGACGTTGAGCTGTGTGTCCAGCTGGTCCAGGAGCGTATCCGTGCACTCCTCACACAGCGGGTGATCCACATCTGTCTGGCCTGACATGATGTCGAACAGGTCACCAGTGACCTGGAAGTGCGGGAAGGTCAGGGCGGCCACACCACACCAATGGGCCTGCTGCTCGCCACAGACCGGGCCCACTTGCCTTCAGCCTGCGGCTGAGGTTCTCCATGGTGCCGCCGTCTGACGCCTCCCCAATAAGTGTGAAGCTGTTGGCGCTCTCCGTGGACATCATCCTGCAGGCGCCCCAGCCCAGGGCTACATGACAGGCTTGAAGGCCCGGCCCACCCACCTCCCAAGGGTGCCTCTTCCCTGGGGAGGCCCTGCTGGGCTCCACGGGGCACTCAGCCCGAGGAGGCCCTGGCAGATTACAGAGGAGTGGCCGTGCTGTGCTCGCAGCAGAGAGGGCAGGGTGTCGGAAAGGCATCCTGTGGGAAGCAGCACGGCCCTCGGCCCTCGGCCAGGGACACTAGAGCCCGCATGCTGGAGGCGCTGGCTCCCGGAGCTGCTCAGAGCCGCCTCTGTAATCAGCCAGCGCCCAGCCTCGCCCTCAGCTCCCATCAGTGCTAGCATCCGTACCCTGGTGCGAATGGCTATGAAAACTGATAGGGGGGCTGGAGAGATGGCTCAGTGGTCTAAAGCACCTACTTAGAACAAGCTTGGCAAAGCATCAGGGACCGCGGTTCAATCCCCCAGCACCACATGCCAGCCCGCCCCGCCCCCTGGTGGGCTGAGCTGGCCACACACACACACCACACTCTCTCTCTCTCTCTCTCTCTCTCTCTCTAATAAAAAAAAAAAAAAAAAAATTAAAAAAAAAAGAAAACTGATAGGGCCTGCGGGGTGGAGGGCCAGGGCAAGGGGGCCCGAGGCAGGGCGCCAACTCCTCTGTAGCACCCAGCTCAGGCCTTTGACTCTGAGCTGAGACCCCACTGGCCTTTGGTAGGGAACAGGAATGGGCCGGGCAGAGCAGGCACCTGGCTGGGAGGATGAACCTGCGGGAGACTCCATCCTGGCGCGTTTCAACAAATGGCTCCTGGTAAAGAGAGCAGGGGGTTAGCGTGCTGCAGCAGCCGCATGGCTACTGGCTCTTCCCTCCGCTGACCTCACAAGCCCCAGGAAACCAGATGTAAGGAACAGGATTTTCTTGGTACAGGAAAGCCACAGTATTGTTCGATTTATTTTGGTGCGGAGCAGCATTTCCTAGCTATGTTTACTCAATTTATTTATTTTGCAGAACCGGGGATTGAACTCAGGCCCTTGCGCTTGCCAGGGAAGCGCTTATTCCACTGAGCCATCTCCCCAGCCTGTTTACTCAATTTATGATGAACTTTGCATTTCTGAATGTGCAGCGGCCAGGGATGGGCACAGAACACCCTGACCGTGCTGCAAGGAGAAGGCCAGCGCAGATGCGGCGAGGCTCGCGTGCAGGCAGTCCTGTGACAGCACTGGTAGGTGAGTCACAGAAGTCAGCGGCTGGCCCTTGGCCTCTTCTAGGGCTTTCTCTGGCAACCTGCAGAAATCCCCAGCTACTTCCTGTCACCTGGACAGGACAAGCCTCAGGTGTGTGCTTAGTGCTGCCTGACAGGAAGGGGCCCAAGCACGGCCGCCCCACTGTGTTCCTGGCCTAGCTGCGCCCCTAGGCCTCCGGCCCCACCCTGTTCCCCAGGGCAGCTTCCTGGGGTGCCCTGCATAGCCGCGGTCTGTGCTCACAGCCGCATCCCTGCACGCGCACCAGAGCTCGCCAGCTGTGTCAGGAGACCTGCAGACGGCACTGCTCTTACCTCTCCTGGATTAGGCTCCTCCTCCTGGGCCTCTCCTGGCTTCACCTGGACTGTGGTAAGTAACGGAGCTAGAAGCAAGAAAAATACTGAGCGAGAAAGTCTTTTTCTTTTTTCTTTTTTGCAGAACTGGGGATTGAACTCAGACCCTTGCGCTTGCCAGGCAAGTGCTTATTCTACTGAGCCATCTCCCCGGCCCCTCTTTTTCTTTTTTAAGACAGGGTGTCACTAGGTAACCCAGGCTGGTCTCGAACTCGTGGCCAGTCTTCTATAAGCAGGAGGACTCATTAAAGTATAGGAAAAGAATCTTGGGGCTGGGGAGATGGCTCACTGGAATAAGCACTTCCCTGGCAAGAGCAAGGGCCTAAAAAAAAAAAAAAAAAAGAGCAAGGCCCTGAGTTCTATCCCCAGTTTCACCAAAAAAAAAAAAAAAAAAAAAAAAAAAGGGAAAGAATCTTAAACATCCTCATTAACACTCCTACTCTTTCTCTTAAGTTAACATTTACACAAAGAAGAACCTATTGTCTTTTCCCTTCTCTCTGTCAAATCAAGCTAAGGGAATGGTGAAGTCGTTCTTGTGCAGTACTGTGGTCTGAATCCCACAGGGTCAAACACACACCCCACACCCCACATCCCCCTCCAGGCCTTTTTTTGGCACCAGGGATCCAACTCAGAACCTTGCATTTGCCAGGCAGGCGCTTATGTGCTGAGCCATCTCCCTGGTCCTCTCCAGGCCTCTTATTTTCAGACAGGGTCTTACTAAGTTGCCCAAGCTGGGCTTGACCTTTTGATGCTCCTGCCTCAGCCTCGCAGAGTGCTGGGATTACAGATCTGCATAATAACACATACCAGGATTACTTTAAAAAGGGCCCTTATCTTTCAAAGACGCATAGATATTTACAGTCTGTATCATCAGGGATGGAGGGACTGTTGGGGAGCTGTGAAGTATGCGGATAGCCTGGGAAACCAGTCACGGTGACAGGTACAGCAGCGGGGGGCACTTATAGGTGGGGGGCTCATGACTGCCTCTAAATTTTCCATCACAAAAGCAGGGGCTGGGGGCCAGGGAGATGGCTCAGTGGAATAAGCGCTTCCCTGGCAAGCACAAGGGCTTGAGTTCAATCCCTGGTTCCGCAAAAAAAAAAAAAAAAAAAAAAAAAAAAAAAAGCAAAAGCAGGGGCTGGGGAGATGGCTCAGTGGAATAAGCGCTTCCCTGGCAAGCTCAAGGGTCTGAGTTCAATCCCTGGTTCCGAGAAAAAAAAAAAAGAAAAGAATACTTGGAAAGAAACACATCACACATGGGGGAAAGAAACCTTTCTACTTTGTAACGCTCAGGACTCAGGACATGTGAGTGTACCCCTTTGTAAAAAGTACACAGCTAAAAGATACACAATGAAATCCTGTTTAGCAAGAACAAAAAGGTGAAAAGTACTGTCACTGGCACTAGGGAGGGGGGCTGGGGACATCACGCCGAGCGCGGCCAGGCCCTGCGCTGCTGGGCGCACTCACGTTTGGAGTCCCAGGCTTGACCTCACAGACCCTGAGCTCGGTGGCCTGGGTTCTGCTGCACAGAACAGTGACCACCAGTGACGGGAACACTCTGTGCATCTCTGAAGAGCCAGGACCACAAAGAAATGGTAAACATCAGAAGCGCTCCTGCCTGGGGCTGGAGAGATGGCTCAGTGGTCTAAAGCACCTACTTAGAACAAGCTTGGCAAATCACAGGGACCGCGGTTCAATCCCCAGCACCACAAGCCAGCCAGCCCCGCCCCCTGGTGGGTTGAGCTGCCCCCCACACACACACAATAAGGGGGCCCCTGCCGTGTGCAAGGACATCATACCACACCGCACAAACACAGCAAGATAAAAGAGGGGAACATAGCTACGGCACAGGGCGCACGCCTGCACACCTAGCGGTCAGCAGGGGTGAGGCTGGCCTGGACTACACACTGTGGCCCTGTCTCAAAAAACAAAACAAAGCCAGGCAGAATGACGCACCTCTGTAATCCCAGCACTCGGGAGGCCGAGGCAGGAGGATCGCTGTGAGTTCAAGGTCAACCCGGGCTACAAAGTGAATTCTGGGCCAGAGTGAACCGCACAGCGAGACTGGGTCTCAAAACCAAACGAACAAGCCCCGCACCCCAAACCCCACCGAAAATCATCGCTACAACCATCTTATGAGGCAGTTTTAGATTTTCCAGGAAGAAGCTGGCTCCTGGCCCATGAGCTCACTTCGGCTGGCCGCAGGATCTTCCGCCGGGAACGCAGCGGGAACGCGGACCTCCGCCGCAGACACACGCCCCGTCGGGGCGCCTTCCCGCCCGGGTGGCGACCAGGCCGCGTCCCGCCACCGCTCCCGGCGTCGCTCACCTGTGAGCTCCTGGATGGTGACGCGGTCCAGGATCTTGAAGCTGGTGTCCAGCTTCAGGGGCTGGCTGCAGCGCTGGCACACGAAGCTCACCTGCATGGTGCTGCTGCACGCCTTGGAGCCTTCCATGCCTGCGGCGCGGGGAGGCGGCGGCGTCAGGGCCCGGCCGGGGCCGGCGTGGGCGCAGCCAGGCCCGAGGCAGCGGAGGGGCCGGGGGCCCGGGGACCCAGCTCACCCTACGCTGTTCACCTCGGGACCCAGGCTCGCTCTACCGTGGCGGCGCCGCGGCCTCAGACAGGCCCCGGAGCGAGGCGTCCAGGACAGCCATTGCCCAGGCTTCAGCGCTTCCGGGAACAGCCGGGGACTTCCGGTCAGCACCGGAAGTGACGTCATCACGCACCGTGGGCGGGGAGAGCGGGCGCCCGAGGGGGAGGGGAGGGGAGGGGAGGGGGAGGGGAAGTGGGGAGGGAAAGGCGGGATCTCGGTGTTCTCAGAGTCCGTGTTCGTCCTGGAGATGTCACTCCTCCGCGGAGCCA